CTCTAGTGTAAATATCATATAGTTTATTTCCTTATATACTATATGTTAATATTCTGGTATTCTAGAGTTGTATCTAGAGTTCTATAGAACATGTATATACTCTAAACTTAATGAATAAGAGGGATACGATATTCTCTTCTCTCTTTGCGAGAAATGTTGATATGCCAACCCTTCGTGAGAGACACTCAACTTTTTAGATATAAGATAAGACATATTCTTGTAATCTTAATGTCCATTATTAATTTTTTATGGAAGCTCCAGAAATTCTCAAAGATTTAGGTCAACCACATTATTTTCAGATCCTGAAATGGAGCAACGGTGAGGTCCCATCAAGTCCTCTAGCCAAGTAGTGTCTTGCCACCTCGGTCGTCGTGGTGTGTCTATACTTGGGAGGGTTTTCTTCGGACATAAGCTCTTTAATGGGTCCATACACTTGCTCATTTGGTATGGTGTGCATGAAGAAAGATGCAATTGAAATGCGTGGTTCTTCCTCTATATTTGCCAAAACCCTATGCTCCACACTTACAAACTTATCATTCGTTATAAGCTGCAAAAACCCATCACACACAAGAACGTTTTGATATTAGTCAAAACATGGAAGATTTTATTGGTGTATTAAGTTTCTTTGACAAAATCAAGAAAGCAATAAGTTTTACCTGTAAGAGATCTCCAAGGTTAACGATAAGAGCTTCTGGATTAGGAGGAACATCGATCCAGTATCCATCATGGAGAACTTGAAGTCCTCCAATGTGATCTTGAAGAAGAATAGTGATAAAAGATATATCAGTGTGTGAACTGATGCCAAAAGTTCGATCAGGTTCTGGACAAGGTGGGTAGTAATGAGACAGCAACGACAAACTCTTTGCACAGTCCATATCTTTGAGGTGGTTAGGTCTTAAACAAAGAGCTTCTGACAAAAGCTCAAAGATTAGCTCCCCTAATTTCATCATACGTTTTGTGTACTCCAGCATGATTTCTCTGAAATATTCACCACCAGACTTCACAATAAGTTAGATAAATTTTCATCAACTTGAAATTAAACCAAGTTCGTATTTTGTGAGACATAACCTAATTAGGGAAATAAACCGAAATTTATCAAATTCTTTTAATTAAATATCATACAAAAATACATCTACATACATTAAATTTTACTTTCAATACTTAAAAAAAAATTGTTATCTTTTTAGGGAAATTGGCAGATATAACCAAGAAAAAAAAAACATAATAACTAAGTAAAACCCCTTATGTGGCACTAATCATAGTCACTAATTTTAGGGTTTTTGG